CCACTACTACTGCCCTTTTTGCCATCGGTTCCGTTGCCGTTGTGTGTCTTGACGTGTTTGGACAGGTGGTCGGAGCGCATGAATCTCTTGTTACACACGGGACACGCGAACCGCTTCTCTCCCGTATGGGTGCGTAAGTGTCTCTGGAGTTCGTCGGAACGGGTGAACCGTTTGCCACAGAAGAGCCAATTGCAGACAAAGGGTCGTTCGCCGGTATGCCAGCGGAGGTGCGCTTTCAGATGGGATGTCTTGCCGTACACTTTGCCACAACCGGGTATATGACAGCTATGGATGTTCTTCTTGCGGAGGTGAGCGCCGGCAGGTCCTAAACGCTCTGCCTCTTGACAGTTGGGACAGTCACATGTGGCGCGTCCGGTGTAGCGCCGTTGGGATCGGGGTGATGGCACCTGAGGAAGAGCTGGTTGCGAGAGACCGAAGGGCGAGCCGCCGACTGTCTGAGCCGATGGCAACATTGTCTTATAGGTGTCTTGCAATAAGTGCTGTCCGGACGACAACAGGTGCGCCGGAGTGGTGGCGGCCGCTAATGACGATCCGAGTCCATAGTCGGCAGAACCGGCGTAATTGGTCTGCAGTTGCGAGTGAAGGGAAGGGGTGCCCGACATGTCGAGCCAACCGCCGGCGGCAGCACTGGCCGCCTGAGCCGCGTGGACGTCCCACCACGAGGACGAGTTGAGGGTATTGACAGATGTGACCTCTGGTTTGATGGCTGGGTGACCAGTATTCATATTAAACGGCCAGTTCTCATAGGGATGAGCGCTGACACCAACTCTGGGATACATTGAGCCCAAGTGCGAGGACTCGCTGTGCATTTTGTTGAGGAAGGCTGTCTGTCCGCTCTCCGAACATGACGTAACAGCGGTGCCCGGATAGAAGAGGTTGTCGCTCGTGTATGAGGTGGTGCCACAGTTGCTGGTGACGGCCACCGGGCGCTGATGGGGATAACTCGTCAGACTGGTTGTCGTCGTGTTATTAGCTATTGTAGGAACTCTTTGAGGTAGAGTTGATGCCGGCGCTGATGAGTTCGGTGGTGAGCCTGACGTGCCGATGGCGCCACCGATCGTCCCCTTCTTCCAGGGGTGAAAGCCTTTCCCGACGGCAGCGTCGGCTAAGGGCGGGGGTGTCTTTGAGGCCAATTTGTTACACTGGGCCGTCAGCATAGCTAAGGGGTTGCCTCC